TTTTTCTTGGGTCACCCTGCCTTGGTGGGAAATGGCTGATGTGTTAAAATTTACAAGAAAAGCTGAGAATTTTTGCTAAGTTAACTTTTCATCTTGGCTTCCTATGGATAGTTTATAAAGAATATGATTGTGCTTTGTTTTTAATTTTAGTACAGTCATTCTCAAGATTATTAAATGTTGGGAACCTGAATGACCATAGATTGTAGTATTTCACCTTAAAGGCACTTCCACATGTACTTAACATGGCTTATGAGTTGGGTGGAGGCAAAGCTTGTCTTGCGCTTAAAATTCTCACACCCATATAAGTATTGGTACCACTATACTCTGGTACATTACTTTTTTCACCTCCTAGATAAACTGTTTTTTTAAATACTTCAATACACCACCCCCCTCCCCCTCATCTATGGTTCACTTCATTTTTCATACTTACTTGCTGGGATGTCCACTCCCAGATATCTAAATACAGTGGGACCTCGAGTTTCGGCTGTAATCCGTTCCAGAAGCTCAGCCGAAACTCAAATTGTTCGAAAGTCAAAGCAATATTTCCCATAAGAAATAATGTAAATCCAATTAATCCATTCCAGAAACCCAAAAATATTAAAAAAAAAAAATACATTGTTTAAAGAATATAGTTTTGCATAAAGAAAATGAGAAATAATTTTAATGAAATTTTAATGGATAAATGAACATTTAAATCAGCTTTACCTTTATTGAAGACTCTTGTTGGCATATGGAGAGGCAAGAGAGTTTGGAGAGAGGACAAAATACTTGAATATGATGCTAATATCACCTCTATGGCTTATTTATCTAACACAATTCATCTAATATGACATAATAAACAATATTAATAACACAGATATGATATATACTCTAGAATGAATAAAATATTACTAATGTCACTAGTGGTGGTGGTGGTGTTGGGTTTATAAGGGCCACTGATGGCATAAGCCGTATAGTGGTGCTAGTCACACTGAAACACCACTATTCACACTGAAACAATGTACGTACAGTGGACACCTCAGTTAACGATATTAATCCATTCCAGAGAGCTTGTCCTTAACCGATTTTATCATTATCCGAATTAATTTTCCCCATAAGAAATAATGGAAATCCAATTGATCCATTTCAGACATCCAAAAGTTTTAAACAAAATCATTTTTTTACATGAAGTATACATTTCCCTACACAAAAAAAAACAAGAGTACATGAAGAATAAAACAATAATATCACACTTACCTTTATTGAAGACATGGTGTTGTATGGAAGATGGGAGGGGAGAGGATAGAAGAGTTTACAGTTCTTTGAAAGGGAAATCCCACTCCATAAAGACTTCAGGTACTAAGTCCTTATCCTGGGTTACTTCCCTTCTTTGTTTTTTAATGCCACTATGACCAGTTTGAGAGCCACTGGATGCCTGTCAATCAAAGTTTTCCAGAGAGGTCTGTTTCTGGTGTATGTTAGGAATTATGTTGGGAGAGAAAATAGTCCTTCAATATGACACTAATATCAGCTCTATGGCTTATTTATCTAGCCCAATTCATCTAATATGACATAATAAACAATATTAATGACAAACATGACACATGCTCTAAAATGAATAAAATACGTCATTAAGTATGTCACGAGTGTTGCTGTGTTGGGTGTATAAGGGCCACCGAGATCATAAGCCGTACATAGTAGTGGTGGAGGTGGCAGCAGAGGCAGTAGAGATGATGGTGTTGTCAGTTGCCCTACATAATTCTATCTGTTAATCGCTTAACTTACTTGCTACAGTTAATGCTACACTTTATCGCTGGCTGCCGCTATAGCCTTCATAGACTCCTGCTGCTTTAGTATTGTACATGCTGCGGAATCACTGAAAAAGACACATTCTCCCCTCTCTCTCAGCCCTTTACCAAAGGGCTTGCTGGCACTAGCTTTCTTTGGGCTCTTCATGGCTTATTTAGCAGTTACAAGCACTAAAAACAGTGGAATAATACAAAATGTATCGCATGTATGCATGGAATCATCTGCAGTAGCTTGTAAACAATGGCACACTAGCCACACTGGAGTGGCCGGCCGGCTCAGGCCGTGCACACACATTCTGGACAAATGTCCTTAACTGAGTTTTTTATCGTTAGCCGAGCCAATATTTTGACGCCAAAAACGTATTGATATCCGATTTTATTGCTATCCAATGGCATCATTAACTGAGGGTCCACTGTAATTTATAAATAAATATTTACACTTACCTTGGAGGAGCTGGCAGAGGGTGGCATTGTCAGTGATCCTATATACCTCAAACAGCAATGGAGGAGTTCAGTTCTGTGTCGTCATTTTTCTCTCGCTTAATCACTTAACTTACTTGCTCCTCTGTTAATGCTACACTTTATTGCTGGCTGATGCTATAGCCTTTATTGACTCCTGCTACTTTAGTATCATACATATTGTAGAATCACTGAAGAAGGCACATTCTCTCCTCTTTCTCCTCCACTTTCGTACTTCGCTACAATTTCTTTCTTCAGTTCTATCGTGTTTCTCACTTTACCAAAGGGCTGGCACTGGAAAGTTTCCTTGGGCCCATGGTTAATCATGTAGCAGTTGCACTCAACAAGCACAAAAAAATGGATTGTTGTGAAATGTTTGGATTAAAGCACAGGGTAATGTTCACTTGAGGAGAAACAAAGCCAGACTGACTCTCAACGCATGCGCCGGCAGGCGGACTGGTCTGGTAAAAGCAGCCGAAACTCAAGGTAGTGTTCGAAACTCGAGACAAGACAAAGTTTAGCCGAAAGAGTGACCGAAACTCGAAACAGCCGAAACTTGTGGCAGGCAAAACTCTAAGTTCCGCTGTACATTTATTCTCTGTATTCCCTCCCTCTAATCTGCTTAGATTTTTTTTGTTAACCTCATCACCTTGCTCTTTGTGTTCAATTTAATTTCCTTCTTTTACTTGCCCTCCCAAATTCATCCACCAACCTACCAATTCCCTAAAAGAACTAATGTAAGAGCAACTGGGATAACTCCCGCTTTGTATCAGATTCAACATCTCTGGCCCATCACCTTTGCATTCATTTTTCACAGTCCCATCTGTTAACCATGGTGACATCACTCATCCCTATTTAAGTTTTTAAGTTTTACTTTCACTGGGAAATAGTCCCCGTCCTTCCTACATACCCAAACCTCTGCCTCACTCTATGTAAAAATTCTTAATTGCTTTTAGTAGCTTGCCTCCATTTCATACATTTGCAGCATATGCTACCTGGCTTCCCTGTCCACCCAATCCATTAACAATCCTGTTGTTGTTATTTATTATAACACCTGCCATCTCCCACCGAGGAATGGTGACCCAAAAACTTTCACCATCATTCAGCCTGTCACTCATTCACTATATCACTGTCTTGTCAGAGGTGTGCAGATACTACAGTTCAGATGCCCCTCCAAACTGCAAATATCCCTGCCCCTCCTTCAGAGTGCAGGCATTGTACTTCCCACCTCCCGAACTCATGTTCGGCTAACCAGTTTCCCTGAATCCCTTCACAAAATGTTACCTTTTGTGTGTGCACCCACACTAACAGCTTATCAAGTCCCAAAAACCATTTGCCTTTATTACTATCTAATATACACTAGCTGGATGTCAGTCCTTCACACAAAACCACCTTTACCCCCTCCCTCCAACTTTTCCTAGGGTGATCTCTACCCCGCCTTCCCTCCACCACAGATTTATAAACCCTCCAAGTCATTTTATTTTTGCTCCATCCACTCTGTCCAAACCACTTCAACAGCCCCCACCCCCTCAGTCCTCTGGATTATGTGGTTTAGTAACTGCATCTCCTTATCTACAAGCTATGAATTCTCTGCATATTACACCACACATACCCCTCAGACACATCACTGCCTCCAGCCTCTTCCTTGCTGCAGCATTCACACCCATATAAGTGTTAATACCACTATATTCTCGTACATTTCCTTTGCCTCCATGGATAACGTTCTTTGTCTCCACAGATGCCTCGATACACCACTATCAGTTCTTTGGTTCACCTTGTTTCATATACCCATCTGCCCACAAATCCACTCACAAATCTCAGCACACTTCCTCCATACTCTCTCCTTTCAATCTGATATCCAGTCTTTAATTACCTAACTGGTTTGTTACCCTTATTACCTTGCTCTTTCCTATGATCACTTAATTTTCTTCCCTTAAATACCCTTCCAAATTTGTCCACCAACCTTTGCAACCACTCTTCAGAATCTCCCAAAACGTTTGCTGGCAAAAAGCAGTTGTGAAAACTTCCATCTTGCATTAGATTCTGCATATTTTAATCCCACACCTCCCCAACACCCTACTATTCACTTTTACAACCCCCTCTATAAATATTAAACAACCATGGTGACATCACTTATCCCTGTCTAAGACCTACTTTTACTGGAAAATCTCCCTCTCTTCTACATGCGATAACCTGAACCTCACTGTCCTCAAAAACTGTACAGCATTTAGTAACCTACCACATATTACACACACTTGCAAAAATCTGCCGTATCACTCCCTATCCACCCTGTAGTAATTTCCACTCTTCGTTATTCATTCTCTCATCTTGGTTACCTTTCCCATTTCACGAACTCTGCCATCTCACATGCTAAATGGACTTTTTCTCCCCTGTCATATTTCCTTTTTTTTTTTTTAAATTCGTGGCATCAGCAAAAACTACCATCCTTTATACAAATATTGTTCACCTGTATGCTTCAGTGTAAACATTTGGTCTACACATCCCCTGCTCATTCTAAAACCTTGTTCATCTGCAATCCTTCTCTGTTAATTCTTTCAATGATAGCTCTGCCATTTACTTCACCTGGTGTACTCAGCAGGCCTGTTTCCCCATAATTTTTACTCTTGTTCCTCTTTCCTTTATACAAAGGAACCATGCACATACATGCCAATCCCTAGGTACCTTCCCCTCTTTTATATTATAATTATTATTATTGATTTGCCTTAATATTTCTATACCTTCCTATATTAACAGGTACATCATCCATGGCCCTTATCAGAAGCTGTAAAGAAACACAGCTAAGTCAAGGGTAGACACCTTAGCACTCGACACCCTTCTCACTCGAGTCGTCATTGTAGCGAGTCTTCACTCGCCTTAACGCCACATCTTGTTTATGGTGGTTCTGCTATCAATATTCTTGTGAATACCGGTACTCACTGCAAATGCCTAAGCCCATTTAGTGACTGTAAAGAATCCTTTATTATATATTGCTGGAATGATTGTTGAATTTGTCTTGTAATTTATATTATTCCTTTTTCATGGTACAGTGACAAAGGTTTTATCTGCACAGATTTGATTTCCAATAATAATAATAATACAAACTTGACTGATATTGATAAACAAAAGTGGGTCCCAATGTTTAATTATCAAAATGAAAACAGAATTTGACAAAAATATAACGCCATGTACTGTGCATCAGTGCAGGTTTAATTGTCGAGGTAGACTTTATTAACCCAAGTTGACTGAAATTTGTCGGATTTTCTTCATTATTTTGCGTTTGGTTAATTGAGAGTTGATTAATACTTGGGCAGATAGAAAACATGATCATTATAAATGATGACTAGATATTATCTGGAAGTATTTCCTGCACCCAGCACTGTACACACAAGCTACAGTGAGCTGGTTAAACTTTACTCTTTGGCCAAGTGGTGGCCATTTCCATCAGACATTTTTCTTGAATGATCTGTGTGAATGGGCACTCTCTCACCAGCCCACACATCTACTCCAGGTTTGTCAAGATGCATTTGATTCTGCCCTGTACATGCAATTAGAACAATTGGACTAATTGCATTTTGTGGATTGTGTGTAGTATATGATTGAGCCCGCATCTTCTGCCTTCATTTCTTAATGTACATAACCATTCTTTTTGGGCGAGTGATTTGTATAACTGAAGGATGTGGTCTTCCAGTTTCCTTTCTTAAATCAGTGCTCGGATATCCATATGCTTTTTCTTGCATTCATATTCATCTAAAAAAAAATCATGTAAAGTGTTAAATTAGCATTTCATATCATTGCAAGCTGCATCTTAAAACCACTTTTTAAAACGTATTCTTGATTCAGGTGATACAGTAGACTCGTAAGTAATGATTGTTGACCTCTGAGGGTGGTAATGCTTTGAATGGTGGGACATTCCAGTGTTTACCTGATCTAAAAAGGAATCATTCTTGCTATTCTCAAACATTTCGTAATTTTTAATTACACATTGTAAGTGGGTGTTGTTGTCTGGCTTAACATAGAAATGTAGAAATAGCAATTTTTCTTACTTAAGGATATACACTATATGGTTCAAAGACTGGTATTGGATTTTACGCTGAAAATATTTTGAACTCCATAACCTTTATTTTATATGTCCTTTGTTAAAGACATTAAGTGCCTGTATCAAACAAATTTATTGGATTTAAAATCTGTGTATTAAAAATTTTTCATGAAAATGAAACATTTTTTAAAAGGGCATTTTTAAAAACTCAAAATTTGCAAAGGGATTTGAGTGTTTTGTGAGTGTGTGTGAGTGTGTGGGTGTGGGGGTGTGGGGAGGGGTTTGTGTGAGTGTTTTGTGAGTGGTGGGGGAGTGTGTGTGAGGTTTTGGGAAGTTTTGTGTGAGTGTTTGTAAAGTGTGTGTGGTGTGTGTGATGTGTGTGGTGTGGGGAGGGGTGTGTGAGGTTGTGATGTGAGGGTGTGTGGGGGTGATTGTGTGTGAGTGTGTGTGGAGTGTTTTGAGTGTGTGTAGGTGTGTGAGTGTGTGTGGTGTGGTGAGTGTGTGTGAGTGTGTGTGTGAGGGGTGGGGTGGAGTGTGTGTGATTGTGTGGAGTGTGTGGGGTTTGTTTTGAGTGTGTTTGAGGGTGTGTAGTTGTGTGAGTTTTGTGGGTGTGTTGATGTGTGTGAGTGTTTGGTGATGTTTTGTAGTGTGTGTGAGTGTGTGTGAGTGTGTGTGAGTGTGTGTGAGTGGTGAGGTGTGGGGGGGGGGAGTGTGTGGTGAGTGTGTGTGTGAGTGGGGTGTGTGATGTGGGGTGTGAGGGGTGTGTTTTGATGTGTGTTGAGTGTGTGTGTGTGAGTGTGTTGGGGAGTGGGGTGTGTGTGGGGATGAGTGTGAGGTGTGTGTGTGTCATTTGTGTGTACTCACCAATTGTGGTTGAGGGGCGGGGGTGTTTCACCCCCCCGGGCCCCCGGGCCTCTTCCTGATGGGCAACTGGCCCTCCTCTTTTCCCCTGAGTTTTCATCCCTTTTCCCTTAAAAAACTATGGGGGGTTTTCCTCCCTTTCCACTACTTCACTTGCTAGGCTATTCCCCCAAAGCTGACAACTTGACTGAAAAAAATACTTCCTAAGGGCCCTTTTGACTGTCGGGAGTCTTCATTTCCCCCAGTTGTACCCCTTGTCCCCTGTGTCCCCTCTCTGGGAAAACCTATTTTGTCCCCCCCTTGTCTATTCCCCCCAGTATCTTGTATGTCGTTATCATTTCTCCCCCGACCCTTCTGTCCTCCGTGTCGTCAGGGCCGATTTCCCCTTTAACCCTTTTCCCCGTACGCATTTCCCCTTTAGCTCTGGGACTAGCCCCTTTTTGTAAACCTTTTTTACTTTCCCCTAAAATTCCGACGTGCTTGACCAGGTTTGGGGGCCAGACTGGTGCTGCTACTCAGTATGGGCCTAACATTAAAAGTGTACCCGTGTCTTTAACGATTTCCCTTTTTTAAGGGGAAACGGAAAACGCCCCTTTTTCGGTTTGCCCCGGCGCCCCTATGCGCAGCGGTTATTTGGTTTATGTGTTTCCGGGGGGGGGGATGTGCTCGGTGTTATGGTCACCCCCAAAGGGCCTTTTTTCCCCGAGTGAGGGGTTTTAGTGTGTGGTGTGTTTTGTGTTTGTGTGTGTGTGTGTGTGGGGGGTGTGTGTGTGTGTGTGTGTGTGTGTTGTGTGTGTGTGTTTTCCCCCCCTTGTTGTACTCCCCCCTAAATTGAGGTTGGGGGGGGTCAATTCCCAAACTCCTGGGCCCCCCCTCCCTTTAATGATCGCTACTAGGTCACTCTCCCCGGCCCTGAGCTTTATCATACTTTGCTTAAAGCTATGTATGGATCCTGCCTCCACTAATCGCTTCCCAAACTATTTCCCCCTTACTGACTACCTGTGGCTGAAGAAAAACTTCCTAACATCCCTGTGATTATTTTGTGTCTTCAGCTTCCAACTGTGTCCCCCCTTTTTTACTGTGTCCAATCTCTGGAACATCCCGTCTTTGTCCACCTTGCAATTCCTCTCAGATTTTTGTATGTCGTTATTCCCCCCTATCCTCCTGTCCTCCATGTGTCAGGTTGTTTTCCCTTAAACCTCTCCCCAAGGACATCCTCTTAGCTTGGGACCCAAATCCCTTTTTGCAAACCTTTTCATTTTAGGTTTTCCCTTTTCGTTTCTTTGGGGTATTTTTGTTCCAAAAATGGTGCCGCTACTCCAAAAATTTTGGGCCCCAAAGTACACGGTGTACAGGGGCCTGAAAAGATTCCTTTTTAAAATGTCGGAAAAGCTGTTCTGAGGTTTTCTTTGGCGGCCCTATGCTGCAGCAGTTATTTGGTTTTATGTGCGTTCAGGAGATGTGCCCGGGTTTTTTTTTTAACTCCCCCCAAGTCTTTTTCCTTGAGTGAGGTTTTTAGTCTCTTACCCCCCAGACTGTACTCCCTCTGCGGCCTTCTTTTCCCTTCCCCAATCTTCATGACTTTGCACTTGGTGGGATTCAACTCCAGGAGCCAATTGCTGGACCAGGTCTGCAGCCTGTCCAGATCCCTTTGTAGTTCTGCCTGGTCTTCGATCGAGTGAATTCTTCTCATCAACTTCACGTCATCTGCAAACAGGGACACCTCAGAGTCTATTCCTTCCGTCATGTCGTTCACAAATACCAGAAACAGCACTGGTCCTAGGACTGACCCCTGCGGGACCCCGCTGGTCACAGGTGCCCACTCTGACACCTCGCCACGTGTGTGTGTGTGTGTGTGTGTGTGTGTGCGCGCGCGCTCGCGCACACCTGTTTGTTTCAGGGGTCGAGTCATCGCTCCTGGCCCTGCCTCTTCACTGATCGCTACTGGGTTCTCTATCTCCCTGCTCCATGAGCTTTGTCATACCCCATCTTAAAACTATGTATGGTTCCTGCCTCCACTACGTCACTTGCCAGACTATTCCACTTCCTAACAACTCTGACTAAAGAAATACTTCCTAATATCTCTTTGACTCATCTGAGTCCTCAATTTCCAATTATGATCCGTTGTTTCTATGTCCCATCTCAGGAACATCGTGTCTCTGTCCACCTTGTTAATTCCTCGCAATATTTTGTATGTCGTTAGTATATCTCCCCTAACCCTCCTGTCCTCCAGTTTCATCAGGCCGATTTCCCTTAACCTTTCTTCATAGGGCATTCCCCTTAGCTCTGGAACTAGTCTTGTTGCAAACCTTTACACTTCTTTAATTTCTTGACACGCTTGACCAGGTGTGGGTTCGAAACTGGTTCTGCATACTCCAGTTTGAGCCTGACGTACACAGTGTACAGTCTTGAACAATTCCTTACTGAGGTATCAGAATGCTATTCTCAAGTTTGCCAGGCACCCATATGGTGCAGCAGTTATCTGGCTGATACGTACCTCAGATGTGCTTGGTATTATACTCACCCCAAGATTCTTTTCCTTGAGTGAGGTTTGCAGTCTTTGGCCACTTAACCTGTACTCCGTCTGCAGTCTTCTTTGCCCTTTCCCAATCTTCATGACTTTGCATTTGGTGGGGTTAAATTCAAGAAGCCAGTTGCTGGACCAGGCTTGCAGTCCAGGGCTCTATGTAGTCCTGCCTGATCCTCATCCGATTTAATTCTCCTCATTAACTTCACATCTGCAAACAGGGACACTTCTGAGTCTATCTCCTCTGTCATGTCATTCACATACAGTGGCACCTTGACTTAAGAGTGCCCCATTTTACGAACTTTCCGAGTTACAAGCCATCACTCGATTGATTGATTTTTTCTTTGAGTTGCGAGCCAAAAGCCGAGTTACGAGCGAGCTTCAGTATGCTTCAGATAAGTCAAATATAATAATCACTCTGGAGTGCTTGAAATGTCATGTGTATTTCATATAGGTACAAAGAGGAAGAACAACAACAAAGAATGGAAGTACAAAAGAAGTTCACAGTAGAGGGGTTAGCTGGTGTGTTCATCTGTGTGTTTACATTCTTGGTGTCTCTTGTAGCAGCTTAAGAAATGATTATACTTGGTGAACAATGTATGTCGAGGGTGATGATAATAAAATATAATAGCTCTGGAGTGCTTTAAATGTCATATGTATTTCGTATAGGTTTGGTAGCTGATATTTAAAGCATTCCAGAGTGATTATTATTAATTATTATAAATTATTATTACCATCGACATACCTTGTTCACTGAATTTAATCATTTCTTAATTAAGCTGCCACGAGACACTGAGAATGTAAATACACAGACGAAAACACCAGCTAACCCCTCTACTGTGAAC